GCAATCAGCTCTGAAACTCGGCGTCGGGAAACTGAACCGCTACGTCGATTATATCGGAGTACGGCGGTTTGAGCCACGGCGAATTAGTGTTTCCCACCGGGACCAATACAGTCTACGGAGAACTGTTCTCAGCCCGGAGCGGAACCAGAAGGGACCGATTCCCAGCCAACTACAGGGACGCCGGCGTGCGTTCTCAGCGCGCGCGCGCGGGTGGCGGGCGCGGCGCCGGACGCCGAGGGGGCTGATGACGCGGCGGCGATGACGGCCATGGCGATGGCGTCCGTTTCCGGTGGTGACGCAGGCGGCCGGCGGCGGCGGCGGAGCGGAACGGGGCGGACAGGTGGTACTGAACCGCACTGCCGCGCCGGCCGGCTGGCCCTGGACGGTCCGGTGGGCCCGGGTGGTGGCCCGACCGTGCTGCGCGCCGACAGCGACGGAACAGCGTAACCCCGCTCAGAGGCCCAGCGCGGGTCACCTAGCTTTTGTCGGACATGGACAAACTGTTAAAAAAGGTTCACAATGAGCTAGAAAGTGGGAAAATAACTCCATTTTATGTAAGTTAAGAAATAATCACCAGAAACGATTGCACTGCCAAACGTTGCCCACGAGCAACTAGCAGCATCCAGATGCAAACTAATATGTCCAGCTCTGAGCATTCTCTACCGGTCAGTGGTCCGGTTGAAAACGTCCAGCTGTCATCCAGAACTCGTGTCCCTAGCCTCCAGGCAAACCCCGTCGGTCTGAAGGGACGGAGACAGCTGGCAAGTGAGCCACATGAACATCCCCTCAGCAACCGTTTGAATAACCAGTTACGCAAGTCTGGTTCTATATCGCCAACCACCTGCCCATCACACTAGAGTGGTATACTTGAAGGCCACTTTCTTTGGCTTCCAACGACAAACGTCTGGTAGACGACCCCTCATTCCAGCTGGGTGGAGTGTTGCTCAAACCCCCAACGGAAGTCTTACATCCTTCAAGCGGTCGGGACCTCTCTGCTCGGATCCTGGCCCCGCAGGTCGAGGGTCGGTGCCGGCAGCTCGATCACATGCCGCTGACAGCAGAAGAGCGACCGGTCGACCTCCGCGGCGGCCCAGTGAGTCACAGGGACCACCAGTGGCGGAGCTGGCACGGAGGGATTCGGGCAGAGTCCGGTCTGCGCCGCACCGGTTGCAGGCTAGCAGCAGCGGTTAGTCATCATTCGCGGAACGATGAAACAGGCGCGTGAGTGTGTTTGGGAATGTTGCGACAGCGCGGCAAAGCGTCAGCGCTACGGAGCCGACCATCCGGAACATACACAGATGTTGGTAACAAGTTCCGACATTCGCTCGTTTTTACAGATGGTGCTGTGATACCACAACCTCCAATGGCGAATATCAAAACTAGGACGCCCTACTTAGCCCGAGCTGAACAAAACAATCGACATAGTTTTTGGTGTGGTTTATCACATCCATTTTTATCGCATCTGCTCATAAGGCACCAATGACATTGACAAAGGACAAAGTCGCCGTAATTTTGGCAGCAAAATCCCGTTAGCCATCCCATGATTATTCAGCGGCTCTTTTCCGATCCAGCCAATACCAGTGGCAAGCGCCAGCCTTTTTAGACGCCCGTGCGGCATTGTCGACGCGCAACGGCCACACTTTGCATGTCAAAGCGCCTGTCCGATTGAATGGATGCGTCACAGCTCGACCAAATCGGCGCCCGTCCCTGAGCGCCCCGCCGAACGGCGGTGACGGCCGGCCGTATTCTCAGAATAGGCCCCGTGTTTCACGGAGACCCCGTCGTAGACACGACGACCGCTGTATTAGTAAACAGACTGCCGCTCCGGCCGTGTCGTAACGGCCGCTCAGTCCGTACAGAGCCGTGTCCCTGCGTGACATTAATGCCGCAGCGGTGGCATTAATGGCGCGGCAGTGTCGAGACCGCCGCATGCAGCCTGTTGTGGCGCTGCAACTCAATGCCAATTAGTGTCGGAGAAAAACGGCATGACGTGAGGCTCTCCGCCGCCGGCCCGAGGCCTCAGGTGGATTTGCTCCGCACCGTTAGCTGGGAAGCTTCAGAGAGGGGAACAAAACAAAAGCAAGGGTTTACGGTGGACGACCAACAGGAAGGATAAAAGGATCACCAGTAGCAAGAGCCTTTTCAAGAGGGAAACATGTCATTTTTCTAGCATAGTCAAATAATCGAAGCGTGTATAATCGCGTCAAGTACCAGGCATTCTTGGCATGTTGACAAGACGAATACACTGTCACGGAGGGAGCCTGGTAGCGTAATATTCGTAGATAACACCAAGAATGCCCACATCGAGCGATGGAGTGCCCACATGTTCATGCATCTTGGCAAGCCAACGAACTTGACGGAGTCGCCGACTCAAGACGTAATCCTATTTGAAAAACGGTGCTGCATTCCTTCAGAAATGTTGAACATGAACCAATATTTATCCACACAACACGACCGCGATGCAATATCGACACCTCGCACACAATGCAACCGTTCACAACTCCATGCTGAATTCACAGCCGGGCAGAACCTCAAGCAAGTGCGCGGTGTTCCGTTTACACTCGCACTGATAACGAATGTGGCGGTGCCCCTCTGAGGACGGCACGAGCGGCGTGACCACCCCGGCGACCGACGATGACCGACGAGGGCTCCTTGGACGCGCTTCACGTCCGATTAGTGAGGAATTCGTCAGGCCAGCCGTCGGACGACGCTCGGCAACGCCCGTGGCAGGCGTCGATGGGAGGGGGATTATCGCCAGAGAGCGACAGTAAAAACCAGCCCTTGGTCGGAATGGAACGCCCGGCTGTCCGCTCCGCCGGTGATCGCGACTGATAACTGACGGGAAGTTGATTGGTTTGTTAATTTGTTCCGTGTCTGCCCAGATAATAGATACTAATTAATATACTCGTTAACAATGAGGTCACGTCAGGGCCGGAAATGAATCCGCGGAAGCGAAACAGGGCTCACTAGTAGTACAAAACAGAGGCACGTCTGGATTATCTATACGAAATAAATTACACAAAATTTACATTTTTGCACCTGGATTGTTATATCTAGAATAATTAAGCCACTTTGACGGCCTTACTAAGACAAATGAGATAAGATGTCCCTTAGAAACCTACCGACAAGGGATTTTGGACATTCCACCCAGGTCCCAGACGCCATTTTTTCACGTGTCCCGGCGGTTAGTCCCTTTCAGAGCGCTCGGGCGGCCTACGTGCCTGCCGCCGGGCGAAAGGGATCATCCTTCATCCCTTTCTCATTCCACCAGCGTGTCCCTGCCGATAATCCCACCGGTCCAGCCTCCGCCGGTCCAGCCGGCCACAGGATACGAGCCACAGTTAGGGGGGGGGGGGGGATCAGAGCGGCGCAGTTGTCTCGGAGATCCCCGGCCGGAACCGGAAGGACCGCGGACAGATGGACCGGGCTCGGATAGCCCCGAGACGCAGCCGGTGCCTGCACCGCACGAGAGCCACGTCCCACCCCAGACGGCAGACACGTTCGGTCACCACGGAACACGTGCCATACGTGCTGTAAAGGAGCGTTCAGACCGAAAAATGCTACCAGGCGCGTGCAACATCGGGGCAAAATGCACAGCCGTGACTGGCCTTGAACTCCAAACGCTGAATGGTGGTCCCTCTTCACGTTTGCCTGAACATGCTTCACGTCTGTCTGGACGTCAACATTACGCTGCCGTCTGTGCTAGTCTGGGCTAGGGCTGGGCTAAGAGTGGAGCAGTATGGAAACACCACACCGAAAGCATATGATCATTGATCAGCTCTCGGCTGACTGCCGGTCCGAAGAGGCTGGAATGTGCCTGACGGGCGCGTCGTTCGGGTTTGCGACACGACACCGTCCGTCACCCGAGAAGGACCGTCCCTGGGCTGTCCTCAGTTCAGGGGCCCCCAGGATTCCACGCGCTGCACACGTGCTAGAGATACCACCCCATCTTGAGCCGAGCCTGCGCCGGAAGCCGGCGGGACGGACTTCCGGCGGCATCGGCTCGTCAGGGGCCCTTTGACGCCGCCCGGGGGCCGGTTTGGGGTTCCAGACACCCAGCGGTGCCCAGGGAGGGCCATCAGATACCGACCGGCGCGGTGGCCGGTTTGGGGCCGTCAAAGCGCTGTCCGGTCCGGCCCTCAGACACACCGTTTGGGGCTCTCATACACCGTTCGGTGGCCGGCAGCAGTCACCCGTTCGGTGTCCGGTAGAGGTGCCCGCCTAACGGCTTTGGCCACTGCGGCCGAGCGATGCGGTGACGAGCGTGTTGGAACGAGTCGTGGAGAGGCGAGGAACGAAGAATGGAGGCGAGCAGATGAGGCAGGGAAAACGAGCAGTTGGGAAAGGATGAGTGTGAGGGAATATCTGAGGGAAAAGGAAAACGCAAGATCAGAGTGAAGAGACTGATGGCATTAGCACAGCGACAACACCAATGTCAGCATGTAAGGGAGCGGCCAACGGTATAAGGATTTGATAAATGGTGCAGTTTCGTTGAAATCCCGAACCTCTGACTCCAAAATTCACACTAGAAAATCCTCTAGCATGCCAACATGAGCATTGGGCAATGAGCATGATTCAAAATAACCAGCCGCTATCAGTAAAAGATAACATTTTACCACACCCATTGCGCCAACGTTACGACAGCCGCCCCTGTCTCCCTTCCCAGTCCGATAATTGCCGTCCGTTCCAGCGGCGGTCGGGACGGCCGGCGGCGGGCCCATTCCAAAATCCGCCAGATGGCGCACCGGCCCGGCCGTCCGCCATGCCGTGCCACGCCTGTCCCGTGGCGCACGGGCACGGCGCGTGCACGTGCTACACGTGGCTAGCCAGCCGTATCACACGAAATAACACACAGCAGTACTACCGGTTCTAACACAGCGAAAACGATAGCCACGGCCGTCGAATTATCATCAGCGGCAGACAAAGAAAGGCAGAGTAATTCGGTATCGATCTGCGAAGTTTAAACCGGCGGTTGCCGCCGTCCAGCAGTTTAAACTCACCTAAGTCGGAGATTAGCAGCTTCACCTCTTCTCTTCTCTCAGCTCGTCGCGGCGTCCGTCACTCACTCACACCTGAAACACGGGACGTCGCGGCGTCACTCCCTGTCTCACGTCACGTCCACGGCAGCTCGGGCGGCGCGCTCGCACGGGTCCCCTCTCGGCCGAGTCCAGCGCGTCACTGGCGGGCGGGCGCCGGCCGGCGCCGGCGATCGATACTCGCGGCGGCCGGCGCCGCGGGGCACGCCGGCGGCGCCGCGCCGCGCGGAGCCGACCGGTACGGAGCCGCCGCCGCGGTACAGGGTACGGACGGGCCGCACTGGAGCGAGACACCACCGCGCGGCGGACACTCGCGCTGCCGGCGTCACGGTTTGGAGGCGGCCGGGACGGCGCGGGTGGGGTCCCAGGACCTCCCGGGGCCGGCGGCAGCGGCGCTGCGCTAATAGAGCCACCGGAATACGATACGGTAACAGGACACCACGGGAAGCCCCTGAGGACATCGGTACAGGCGAGCGGCATGCACCCGACGGCACCATCAACTCCCGGCGGGTTGAATAAGAGCAGTATGTCGCAAGGAAATCTGAGCATGGCTTACGAGAAAACTTGAGCGCGACGAGCAGCAAGATGTAAGGCCCAGTGGAAGCCCTTGGATGTGATAAAATGCTCGAGTCAAGACCAATTAGCATAATTAAGCTGACAGTTCCCATTTTACAGCTCATAGTCGGGCACTCCGCTAATTAGCAATTATCATTCATCATGCTAATAACTGGTGGAATTATGAAAAGCTAGTATATGTGAGAGCGGTGCGCAAATAACAAAGCTGCATTCGAATAAAGCCGACATTTGACTTTCAGATGACTGTAAATGGAACAAACAATCATGCCCGTAACACCATTTCCATTGAACTTATGGCTTTATTCAATTTTCATGGACGATACGCTGCTTTCTACTCTAATTTTCGGCATTATGAAGCCGGGACACAGGTGGGAGCATTTTATCGCAGCGAGTGACATTTGTCAGTATTTGTGGACCCAATCCGCTCGGCACAGTATTGCTTTTCCAAACGGAAAGCTTGCAATGATCCAGGAAATTGAAACGATTCCAACCCTGGATTCTGGAGTGCATTATACGGTGCATTACCTACTACCAGGCGTTTCGGGACGCTAGGAAAGACATTGACACTTGACAAATGCGAGCATAGCACATTGCTAGGTACGTTGTTTACACAGTGTTACTATTATAATATACGATATAACTGGTGGAATAACCAGCATAAAGCTGATTAAAAAAGATAAGACCGGTAGATCAACGAAAAAATAAAATTTTTCGTTTAGTCCCGGTGTAGCCCCAACCAAAACGATTGTTTTATGAAACATCAAATCAATTAACAATAAAAAGGTTCGGATTCACCATTCTTAGTACAGTTGCGTGCGTTGAGTGCATGCTATATTATGTTTAACGGTACTGACTACTGAGAAGTAAATAAAAACAATCATGGAAAAACAAAGGGGATAATTATTCAAAGGAAACATCACATTGCTTTCACAAATTACCACTTCAGATCGATCAGAAGAAAATCTTTACGGCACCGGTTTAAGGGTATTCACAACAAGGGCACAAAAATGAACATCGCAACACGGCTGTTTGCTGTTGAGTTTCTCATAGACGAGACGATCGGCCGCGCGGGGGGCCAAAACAGGTTCCAGAGGCAGGACGGCATGCAATGTCAACGCTCTAAATAAGACGTCACTCCGGAGGAACAAAAACAGGAAATAAAGCCAGGCATGACACCACGTCGTCGTCAACGCCCCTGGACAAGATACCACGCCTTGGAGGCTGGAACGCTCTGGCAGGGTCAGAAGAGGACATGCCGGCGAGAGTACTCTAAGACAAGATGCCGTGCCTCGGAAGCACAGACGACCGTTCAGAAGCACGGATGAGTGCCGCTGGACATGCTACCACGCCTTAGGAGCAGAAAACAGTCAGAAGCAGCCATGGCACCATGACAGTGCCTATGCCCAAGCTGCCACGCCTTAGGAGCACAGACGGCCGATCAGAAGCAGGCGTAACGCCATGGCCGTGACGACGCCGCGGCCGGTGATCGGACGGGCGTGACGCCAATTGAACCGTTCACCGCACGCCGCCGTGACGGGGCGGGCTGCCTAGCCTCCTCCCCCGGCGCTGGGGTGGGGTAAGACATGGTACGGTTCAGCGCGGTAGGAGTATGGCACGGGCGATACCGAACGGCACACGGGATCTCATCGTGTGCAGTGTTTACTATATAGCATACTGCATTAATACAAAAACACAATTCCAACGAATAGTAGAACTATGTCTATATCAAGCAGCCTACGGTTATGACATATGACATGTAGCAGTACGCTACAGTCGACACTCGAACAGTGAACTTTCTGAAAAGGGAACACGACAAAAAGCAATCCGCTTGTACTTACAACACGTCATGTTGTGGTACGGTGCGTCACTCTGTTTAGTGCTTATGAGTTATGACCATGCTTTGGTTGTACGGCGGATTGGACTGGTCAATCCATGATAACCGTACGACTTGACACCAAACAAAGAAAGTGACCGAAAATATAAGAACGAACCAGCATCTGAACTGAACCAGCATGCAACTAGGACCCATGATCATGCAAACGTGCTAGGGTATAAAGCTATTTATTGTGCCTATATTCTTGTAACAATAACTAGCGCATCTGAGCGCGTATCGCTATTCACTAATAAGAAACTGCAATTTTGCCGTCTCTCAACAAAGTGTCATGCAACGAATAATTGCCCAAACAGCATGCACGAACAGGAGCATACCAGCCCACCGCTCCAGTCGGCCATCGTCACGCAGTCTCAGACTCAGCCGCCACATTCCGTGATAAAACCGGCCCTGGAAAACCCCGCTCTTGGCCGCGCCGGGTGGCTCGGAGCGGCGCCGAGCCGACCATCTGCTGCTCTGTCAGACTGGGGGCTCAGTTGGGCTCAGTCCGCTGCTGGATGACCGGCGCGCGATGACACGTCATGACCTCCTGAGGAGTTACGGGTCAGTGCACGCCGTGATGGCTCGACTGGAGGTCAAATGAGGAAGGGGATGGGTGGATGCGGGCTACGACATGGCCCGATGTCCAAACACGATCTGTAAAGAGCAGCGACGACCAGAAATAGGCGGAAAAACTGGCTAGACACGATTACCTCCGATAGGTGTCCATAAACGTACCGTTCAGAAAAAAGCAACAGAAGATTGATAATTAGGCGGCAAGAATGCGACATGAGAGTCGGACATTCATCTGCATTGTTCTCCTGGGCGTGCCGCTGCCGCAGCTCGCCGGAAGCGGCCTGCCCGCGGTCCGCTGGGCTCGGTGGAGTATTGTAGCCTTGAGCTCGGTACCAGCGGCATACCAGCGCCACGCCCGTCCGAGCCCGGCCGCGTCAGCGAGCCGCCGGGTACGCCGCGCCGTGCTCAGTGCCGTGCTCAGCACGTCCAAGGCGGGAGCGGCGCCATCCGGCGTGGCACGGATCGCGGCCGGTGGATCAAATGTCAGTCTGACCCGTCTGGCCAACGGTGGGTGCACCTGTACCGGCGCTGGAACATCGTGAGACGCCGCGAAGTGAGGGGAAAGTGAGCAGTCGGTATGACGCAGTATTTGCAACCCCAAGCATGAAACTGGCACTGCCCCTGGGTAGCAGCCAGCAGGATGCCTAACCTACTTCCGGTGACAGCGGGTGAATAGGATACCTACCTGATCCACACCCTTAGTAAACCCCAGGAAGGTACATACCAAAAGGAAAATGGTGAAGGAAATAAGAAGCTTGGAGATAAGACAAAGTTCCCATTATAGTAACCTTACCGGTATATCGGTAATTTTCAAGACCTTTTTTGTATAATAATACTGATACCTTAGCTCAAGCTGATCAAGATCCCACCATGTTCTATGCACTAAACCTGTACGGGACCTGTACCCACCTGTACCCAGTGGCGGCGGAAGCAGGGGGGCAAGGGGGGCAGCTGCACCCTAAAGCTATGGAAATGGGCGCCTCGAAAATCTGTAGAGGAGGCAGGAAGTTAAGAGGTGCGGCAGCCATAAAGCTGAGCAGTGCGAGGCGACACCGCAACTGATAAAGGCATTGTGACACGAAGAGGGTGGCAATGACGGGAAAAGTATCTTTTGATATGCTGAAGAGTGGAGGGCATCCTTATCTGAAACAAAGGCAGATGCTGCCGACCCTGTCGAATATAATCTTGCCAGGCGATAAAGGCTGGGAGGGCGCAGCTACTCGAGACGCGCGCCATGCGGAAGAGGGGCGCCTGCATGCGAAAGAGGGGCGCCTGTGTGTGGGACGGAAAAGAAACATTAATGGAGACGTCTTTGAAGGCGATAGCCTCCGAACGCCAACACGAACATATGAGGGCTTATAGCGTTGCAGGCTCCATGCGACAAAAAGGGGCGCCTGATGGCCGATATGCGAGAGGAAATTAGTTTGTGTAACATTTATCGGGGGCGGTTTGCCGTTTACAACATATGAATGTTAAAGGAAATAGTTCACTTTCACGAAATTATTTTTTTGCAATGGATTTATGATTTTTTATGTTCAAAATGATCAGCAAAGAAAATAAAACCTATTTATAACAAAAGATTATTTTCTATATTTTGATAATAAGAAGAACTTTTCAGTTTCTGTAAGGCACAGGCGATCCAGTATGAAAAGAGCATGGGTCCCGAAAATTCTTCAGAAACTAGAGAAATGATCGCGGCCACCGGCATTTGGGCGATCTGCTGCTGCTGAATGTCCTTATTGATCAGTACGAGAATTTCTCTAGAGTTCTCGTAGATAATTTCTCTAGTTTCTGAAGAATTTTCGGTACCCATGCTCGTTTCATACTGGATGCGAATATATGCAAGGCACACATCCTCAACGCAAGACACATTTTTCGGGACGAGAAATAGAATATATTTGCCTAGGGTGATCGTTGGGCTGTAAAAGCTCCTGATTTATGCTCGTCTCAGCCCAGGCTACGGAACTGCTATTCCAGTTCAAAACCCATGTTAAAAAGTGAACTATTTCCTTTAAGGGAGGTCCGAGATTGGGGCCTGTAAAATTGCACTGTCCGTATGGGCGGTTACACCCCTAGTGCTAGGGCGTATTTTGCGTTTTTTTTTTTTACAGGGGAGATGATTATGACCAGGAATAGCACTCTGCAAAATTCTATGGGCGCCTGAAAAGGGGCGAAACTGATTTTCCAGTGCAGGGACGGCCATCGGCATGGTAAGGGGCGCCCAGCGGGAAGGGGCGCTTCAATATCGTTTGCACCCCTATCCTAGAATACCTTCCGCCGCCACTGCCTGTACCGCATCCACACAAGGACATCGACACAAAAATGAGTGTATTGTGTCTTCTTATTCATGACATAATCCAAGCTGTTGCGCGCCCAAGGCTATATCAATATATTTGCGCCCTAACTCAAACTTGAACTCAACGACGACCACGACACCGTTAATCGAAATATCAATGATTCTAACGAAAATTCACTTACCTATCGCTTCTGAAGGCGGTGGTTACTGGAAATCACGGCAGAGAGCAGTTACTTTGCACGAACTTGCATGAAACTGCACGAATGAAACGTGAACAATGCCCTGAAACTCAACTGAAACTGAAACGTGCCGCCAAAAAATTCCACCGCTGCGCAGCCTCACGTCACAGGTCACCCAAATATGTCGATTTTGAGAGTTCGTCTGGCGACAGCATGAGCTCCTAGCGGATAATGTGGTAAATATCAAAAAGTTTGAATAAACTTTAGATTTTGATAAAAATTTAGAAAACCTAACGAACAAATATTTCTTTAACATAATACATTACCATTTTAAGATATTTTTGAGCGTTCAACTTTACAAAATAGAACATTTCATTACCGCGTGTCAGCAATACAATGAAACTTCTTGATAAAACCGAGCTAGAGATAGCCTTGCGCTAGAGGCAACGCAACACGCACGCTGCCATTTCGTCAGATTCTGTGTGTATGGTGGGTTTTGGTGAAGGTGGATATATTATTGTTGTTTTGTTTTTAGGATTATACTTCATCATTTGATTTATATAGCATATTGCTCACAATGTTTGTCGTCGATCGCTATGGGAAATCACCGGCTGCATGCAATGTTGACATAGCTTTGTAGGCTTCACCGCTTCAATTCAAGTTTTAGGTTTCAGTTTGAGGTTTGAGATAAGTCTAAAGTCAAAGTGGTGCTGAATCTTGAGATAAACTTTCCAGTAAATGTTGTTAGTATTATTTTAACCTTTTGAGGTTATTTCCTGGCTCTTATGATTCATATATTCAGGTTATAAGCAATTGGTAAGATAGACATCTGTTGTGCAAAAAGTTGTTTTGACACCAGCTTTACAGTTTTATTGGGAGCTTTTGAGAGCACTTTGGCTCCCTTCTTCAGCCAAGTCACACACTCACACGAAACACTAAAGTACAGTACCTAAAACAAAACATTAGTATGTAGTTCGGTTCGATTTATTGGGAGCTTTCGAGAGGCTCCCTTCTTTAGCCAAGTCACAAGAAACGCTAAAATACAGTAATACAAAACATCAATATGTTGTTCGGTTCGAGGCCAAAATCGTATAGGTCAAGTAATTAATGAGTGACTGGCTAACTATTCAACATTACCAACTCTAGCTTAAGCCTTAAGGTAATGGATTGGATGAGTCCATCAGTTCATCTTATTTAACTAATTCCCTACAGGAGTTGATAAATCACCATGCTGACAATGCATTTTCTTCTTTGTAGTATTGACAGTAGGAGCAGAGATGGTGCTGGACATTGACCTGTTCCGAGCTGAGAAGGGCGGCAACCCAGACCGGATCAGGAAGTCACAGAAGGACCGCTACAAGGATGTCACCCTGGTTGACAAGGTGGTGGAGCATGATGAGGCCTGGCGCAAACGTGAGTCAACAGTCTAATTTCCAGTGACAGTGGTTGGCAGTTTAGGACTTTTGCTGCTGGTTACTATCTGCTTAAATATCAGTATATACCATGGATGAACTTTTTTGTCATGTTTGTCAATTAATTAATTTATTCATGGCCTCTGTGCTTTTTTTATGTGGCCAACTTGGTCACTTTTATCACTTGTATGAATGTTTTAAAAGCTAGGTACCTATGAATTCTGTCGGATACTGATATAGTGAGATGGACTTTTTTGTGGGACCAGAAGCAAACACTGATCATTGTCATGTTTCAGATCGTTTTGATGCCGATAACTGGAACAAGTTGAAGAATGCCTGCTCCAAAGTGATTGGAGAGAAGATGAAGGTTTGTCTTACAGAACATTTTAGTTTGTTTTATACCTTATAGTGTGCTACAATGAGAACAGGTTGGGCCTTATCAAGATTTTTTGTGTTTCATTACTTTGGTCATGTTCTGCTATTTTAAGCATTTGTACCTATATGATTGAGCTATGAGATTCAATGCCAATGGTGCAGTTTGTACCTTCTTGGTTCCACTTGAGTAGGTACAGTCCACAGCAGAAGTAATGTGGGGTTTCAGTCATGGGTATGTTCTGCTTCTGAAGCTTAGGAACGATTAGCCAGACTACAATGAAACTTTGAATGTAGCTTATATGTATCGTCACCCTTGCAGCTGCAACTTTAGCTATTGACATCTTCTTTTCGATCACTCCGCATTAAACAATCGCCAGTGAAAGCCAACCGTTGAGATTGGTAAAACCCTACATTACTTTAGCGGTGGGCTGTACTTGACAGTAGCTTCTTCCTTTTCTGATTCATCCTTGGGATGAATGTGTGGTATTCGCTGTTTCAGATTTAGGCATTTGTAGCCACATGACATCTCAGACTCTTGTTGACCCATATTTGTCAGTGATGTTAGCTAACTTTCTTGTGCCGATATTAGACTGGACACGGTCAGGATATTGTCGGGCACGGTCAGCTCGGTTGGTGATGATCTAACATTCGATATTCTCAGTCGGCCAAGAAGGCTGGTGGTCGGCCGGCCGCCCCCTCCCAGCCGGCGGAGACGCACGAGGTATGCACGGATGATGCTGATGCATGCAGACCATAGTTTCCGCTATGGTTTGTGGCTGTTTGTTTGTCAGGCTTTGCTCCACAGAATGGGAAGGGAGACTACCATTGTCAGCTTGAAAAATTTGAGAATAGCGAAATATTGATGCTTATTAGAAAACAAATCGTATCATCATTTTGGGGTTGTTCTTGTTCCATTAGGCTCGCCTTCTGGTTCACGAGGTTCACGGAGCTTACTGGTATATAGCGCCGGGGCCATGTGAAGTGGTATTAGGTATGTCAATCACAGGTGATACGGCATTCATTCTTGGTTTGGGGAGTTAAGTGCGGGTTACCGGACCCGTCAGTCGTTCTCTATTGGACTGTCTCCAGCGGCCGCTGTATTTTGCGCCCCGCTGACCGTGCCCCACGGATCGCCAGCCGGCGCTGCCCTCCCTCGCCGACCTGGAGCGCCACCTGGCGGAGTTTTCGTACGTGGGCGGCCACCAGGCGTCGGCGGCCGACCGGCGGCTGAGGGCCCGTCTGGCGCCGCCCGCGCCCTCCGCCGGCCAGTACCCGGCCGTCAGCCGCTGGTGGCTTCACCTGACCGCCCTGGAGGCGGCCGGCGCCCCGCCGGAGGAGACACTCCCGCCCGGCGACCCGGCGCTGCTGCGGCGGCTCGGGCTGGACCAACTGCAGGTGCTGGGAGGGGCTGTGTCGTACGCACCGCATGGTTTGCACCCCTTGCCTGGCTGCAACCTCACCTGGCGTATAACTGACAGAGTTTAGGCGTGTAACCTCACGGCTCACCCTGGCGTGTAGCTGGAAAGGCTCTAGCGAAGCCCATCCTCGATCACCCACTGGGCTACTAGATATGGCTGGTACTGCCTCTAACACCACCTGCTGAGATGGATCGCCCGCTAAGGCACTGCCATCTTCCAAAGCACGCAGCTATGCAGATAGTGTGTGTGGCTTTGGCTGAGGCCTTGTTCGTACTACTATAGATGGGATGTCGCATGCCTCCCGAAGGCTGAGGGCGTAGGAGCTTTGCTCGGCGTCGTTTTTTTATAAGTAGGGGCAGTATAGCTGCCTCTTCCGAGAACCCTGAAGTTGGGCACTTAGCTAAGGATAAAGAGCACTCGCTCAGTCGCCTGTTGGTTGACTAGTTGTCTGCGTAGAAAATGTGCAGCTGTTGGCACAGCTGAGCCGCTGCACCTCCGTAGTCGCACAGTTCGCTTCCGCGCTATACATGCACTAATATCTGTGCTGTTACGAAGCGTCCGCTACGCCAAGTAATTAATCCTTTCGCTTGGTTGCGTACTGCGTACAGCACGAAGCCCTTTGATTTCGAAGTTATTCTAAGTTCTAACAGTATGCTTCTTTATAGCAAATAACAACTATGTCGCTGTTTCCATATGGTGATTTTCTTTCCAGCATTTGAGTGATGAATTGCGTGCATCACTGTGCGGCCGTCGGGCCAGTGGTTTGATTGGTTTCGTGGTGTTTGTGACTCCGTTTCCGGTGTTTTTGACTCAGTTTCCTGTATAGCCGATTCTGTTTCCGGAAATGGCTCAGATCACTGCATAGCGTCATTCGTCATGATGACGCACAATGCAGTATCATCTGGGTGGTTTGCACCGGCTGTCCATCCGCCCGTCTGTCCGTCCTCCCGGCTGCCCAGTGCTCATCCGTCTTCTGTCCGTCCGCTCGTCTGTTCATCCGCCTCTTCCCCAGTTTTTATGTGTGTGTCTACCTGCCCGTCTATCAATTCTTTCGTTTGTTCGTATCTGCTACTGTGAAAGTCCTAGTCTGTGCCTTGTTCCGAACACCCGCTTGGCACAGACTGAAGCGTATGTCAATTATCAAGCAACGGTGAACGGACGGACGACGGTGCATATTGACCACTGGTATCCTTGACACTTACCGTTGCCGCCGTGTGTCATTGCATCATCGCGTATCTGTTCTTTGTGCCCACAGAAAAAGGAGCCGGTCGGGGACGATGACGCGCTGCCCGACTCGGTGACGTCACGGCTCGCTCAGCTGACCCCCGAGGAGCTGCGGCCTCTGACCGTCACCCAGCTCAAGGTCAGGAGCGGTGACCTGACTGCGACCTAGTCACACTCGCTATGCACAGAGCTAGACTCGCTAGTTGCTGTGCTGTAAGACTTTCAGTAGTCGCTCCGCGCTCGTAGGCTTTACTTTGTTTAAAGGTACTGTCAAGGTTGTGAACAAGCACTCTAGGTCATATTTATGGGAGAAGAGGTAGACAATTCGCAAACGAGCCATATCAATGCTTTTGTTCTCGATATCAGTGACTGGAAATCGTCTGGCTGTTTTTTTTTCTCAAGAAACCGTCAAACGCAATTCGAAGGCCACCGCCCTCTCCCCGCCGCCTGTCTGACTCTCCTCCGCACCCTCGTGTCCCACAGAAAGTGCGCGCCCTGGTGGACGAGGGTCAGGCGCGCACGGCCACTGCCGTGGAGGACAGTATGAAACAGCGTGACGCGGCGCTGGGCCTCATCGGAAACCTACTGCACGAGTCGTGTATCGTCAGCAATGATGAGGTGGGGACTGACGGCGGCAGGTTAGAGGGAGGTGGGGAGAGGGATGGAGGGAGGGACACCTGTGGCTCAGAAGAAGGGAAGGGGACGGGGAACGCACTTGTACGGAATGTGCGGTTGGGGGCCCCTGTGCTACAATATAATGACATGCTTCTTTCGTGATATTTGTCAAGCCGCCTTCTGTGAGTTTATGACTACGAAACGATGCTTATACTTTGCAGCATCTTATAATCAATCATAAGCGTTGTTTATGACTCATTCATATTAGTTTTCTAATGGGGACCACCGTCCGACCGGTCAGCCATTTGCGACATTGCAATCAAACATCAGCTCTTGATACCCTCCCTCCCTGATGTCTCTCACAGGAGAATAACGGCGTGGAGCGCACGTTCGGCGACTGCGAGACGCGCCGCCGCTACTCGCACGTCGACCTCATCCACATGATCGACGGCATGGACGGCGAGCGCGGCGCCACGGTGTCGGGCGCGCGCGGCTACTACCTGACCGGGCCGGCCGTCTTCCTGGAGCAGGCCATCGTCCAGCTGGCGCTGCGCATGCTGCTCGAGAAGGATTTCAAGCCGCTCTACACGCCCTTCTTCATGCGCAAAGAGATCATGCAGGAGGTGGCGCAGCTCAGCCAGTTCGATGATGAGCTGTACAAGGTAAGGAGCGGGTGAATGAGTGACCAATAGGAATGAAAAGAGAATAATGATTCATAGGACCATTGGATATAACTCCCATATCGATGCTCAAATGCAAAGCTACCGTTCTGACGAATGACTGATACCCGTGGTAGTTGCTACCGTTCCTTTCCTCCGATAGTCAAAGCGCCGATGACATCTGAAGTCCGGATGCCATATAATCACCAATCTCCGATAGTCAACTAATCCCTTCCCCCTTCTCGCAGGTGCTAGGCAAGGGCTCTGAGAAGGGTGACGACAACACGATCGACGAGAAATACCTGATCGCCACCTCTGAGCAGCCGATCGCCGCCTACCACCGCGACGAGTGGATCCCCGAGGCCTCACTGCCCATCAAATACGCCGGACTGAGCACCTGCTTCCGCCAGGAGGTCGGATCGCACGGCCGAGACACCAGAGGCATCTTCCGCGTGCATCAGTTCGAGAAGGTAGGGGACCCGTCACCCGATAGGTAGGTTTGTAAGGATAGGCACATGGCTGAGCGGTAGGCTTGGAAGTAAGGCAGGACAGAGCCACTGTGAGGTTTTTAGGGTGATGAAGGGGGATAGAGATTGGCCGGCTGATATGTTTGCAGGGTGGTTAAGGGGAGGGGCAATGGATAAGCGATGTTAGGAAGGCAGGTGGGGATGTGATTGCAATCATATTGACGGTAGATAGAGAATGTTTGCATAGTTGAGAACAGGGCGCGGCGAGGCGATAGCAAAATTTGTAATCTGTGAGGGTATGAGTCAGGCTGACGTGGTATGTTGGCGGACGGTTTTACTACCGAACCCGTTTCGTTCGACAGCGTTTTTTCAACTATACTTACCGCCCACACAGGAGTCAAGCGGCCATGCAGACACAGTGACGAACTCGTATTCTTATCGCAGCGCAACGTAATTACAGATGGTTGACTCCAAAGTGTCTCGAGCCGCCCAGTCATGACCTGACCTGACTCCGACTTTCTCGGCACAGGTGGAGCAGTTTGTTCTCACCTCGCCCCACGACAACGCCAGCTGGGAGATGATGACCGAGATGATCGACAACGCCGAGCGCTTCTGTCAAACGCTGGGCATCCCCTACCGCGTGGTCAACATCGTCAGTGGTGAGCTGAACAACGCCGCCGCCAAGAAGCTCGATCTGGAGGCGTGGTTCCCGGGCGGCGGCGCGTTCCGCGAGTTGGTCAGCTGCAGCAACTGCACCGACTACCAGGCGCGCCGGCTCCGAGTCCGCTACGGACAGACCAAGAAAATGGGAGACAAGGTACGGTAAAAGAGCGCGGTGAACGGGGGGGGGGGGGCTTCATAGGATGTGGCTTCATAGTTGTGAGGCGGACATTTTGAGACATTACGAAGAATGCGTAGTGAATTTGCCAGAAGTCTGGATTTTATAATACGTTGTGCAGCCGATCAGCCGGTCTGTACCATCTTATCTCGTCATTTATGGCCACTATATTTTCATTTTACTTTTGGTGTCATTTCCGCTAACCGTCCCCTCCGCTCCTCCCTCACGCCAGGTTGATTACGTGCACATGCTGAACGCCACCATGTGCGCCACGACACGCGTCATCTGCGCCCTGCTGGAGGTGAACCAGACGGAGACGGGCGTCACCGTGCCCGAGGTGCTGCGACCCTTCATGCCGCCCAGTGAGTACCTTCTGTCTGTTTTGTGGTAGCTACGCGTATGTCCACCGGACAGTGAGCTCTTTTTCCGCCCACGAGCCGGTCTGTGGGAACTGCCTGCCGGACGGCCAGTCACTACCTGCCGCCAATCGACTTTAGGGCCGTCAGGTCTCGTGTGGACGGTTGGATGCTGAGCGTTTCATGTAGATACTCAGCTGCATGGGTTACTAAAAGTTTGTAAATCAAACTCACTTGGATAGTTGGTGCACTTCATGTGTAGCTCTGATATGGAAGGCTGGGTATTTGTCTGTCCCTGTCAGTTCTTTTTATCTATGATTAATGATGGATGTAATCTGTTCGCCATAAAGTGCACACATCTTTATGTTAAGTATTCACTGAGGTCTTAAGTCGGCGTTTTGATTGTGTCACCATTGTGACTGTTTTGTTATATCCCATCTACAGAGTACGCCGAGGAGATCCCATTCGTCAAGCCCGCTCCCATCGACCAGGAGGAGACCAAAAAGGCGAAAAAGCAGAAGGAAGGCATGAAGAAGGGAAAGATAGAAGAATAAAAGGTGTCAAACTAGCGTCTAGGACCAAAAGTTCATCTTCCCGCATTCACTCTGCGACCTGTTTTTTTTTTTACGGCTCAGTCTTTGGGAGTTTGGGGGTTGTTCTGTTATTTATTTGCAGTCACAAACTGGTCCATCAAAAGTTTCGATAATATTTTGCTTTAGTGGTCTGACATGTTTTGGCCATGGTACAGGGACTATTACTATGGTGGGAGATTTTTAAAGACGAACTGGTGGTACAACCAATACACTGATCAGTGATCATGAACCATGCCCAAAGTCGCGTGTTACTTACGTTATAAGTTCGAGGATGAAAGTGAATATGAAAGACGGAAATAACCATCAACTATTGATGGGAGATCAATGTCACTTTACTTAGCTTTGATATGGTATCTTTGCATTCTTTTCTCGATAGGTTGTAGGAGGTATTCGGTTGTTACAATTTGGTTACTTGAGTCAGGGTAAAAAAAAAACATTGCAGCATAATCGCTTTTGAGCGAAGTCCGCATTTTCGAAATAAAACATTGAAAACGCCACGATTTTAGAGTTCTCAGGGTTAAATAAAGACTAAGTCTGGCAAGATCAACCCGTTTACCTGGACATTAGTCGTTGAAGAATATGGTAGCTTTTAGCGACTTTGAAGCTCGACAAGGGATGACAAACAATGTTGTGGTATTGTTCGGATAAACTCGTCTCGTGTGCCTTGTATCAGCGTGACCTTTTGAGTGCAACGACAATCGCTCTTGTGGAGACAGGGTTCCCGAGTTTTTGTTTCCTGTGCGTCACAAGGACTTGGGGATTCCGGGCGGTGGGGGCCCTTGCGGAAGTCAGACTGCACATAGTGCATATATAGATCTGCCGTTCGTAGAAATACTACAAGATGATAGGGGTTTTCATAGACCGGAGTGGTGTAGAGTTGGTTAGAGCTTCTTTTCCATTTTTTAACCGAGTTAGATATGCTGCCGTGCTGCTGAACTCAAGGGACAAAGTGAATTTTGGAAGCTTTGGTTTGTGCTGACATATTTTACAAAAGTTTGCATAACAGTTTTCTGCTTCCTTCGTGGATTTTTTTTTTTAACGATGGGCATTCAGTTGAGCATCCATGTTGTAACCTTCCAATTGCTAACTGTGTTAGGCGTCTCATTCCTTTCCCGTCGAGACGACCTCTTCCTCTGCTCAGCTGCGGGAACTCTGGGATCCCCTCATTTCGCTCCGGGCCTAGGAGCATGGTGCGACTGCACAGGGGAGGCGCCGCGGCGCACTCGAGACATCCTCCCGATGATAAAATGACGCCATTTAAACTCAGCGCAGCCCCACCTTCCCACCTCCGGCGCAGACGAAGGGAGTCGTTGTTTATTTTTCTTGCGATGCTGATCTTGCTATCACTTCTGCTGGTGTCTGTTCTCACCATTACGTTTGGGTTCTTTGCATGCCGTCACGGCTCGTAAAGCCAGACGCCGCGCGGCTAAACGGTTCAACATTACACCGCCGTCGGCAATATGCGGGGTTCGTGATGAATGGCTGCTGATGGCGGTTACGGCCTAGCCGCTCATCCCTGATCCTCTCCTGTCTGGTCACCGCGGAAAGTCCTGACCAACGTTGATGGCTCGCGACAAGGTTCGCAGTGTGCCCAGGAGGCGTGACTTGCACCTATCGGCCTTCCGGTGACCAGTCACGATGCTCGCACATTCCTAGGCACGCACCGTTGTCGGGGGAGAGAACATACTGGAATGAGGCCGGCCGCTCCAGTCAGGGGGCACCGAGCGACAGAAATACTGTGTTTCCAAGAATTGGCAACGCTGCCACAATGGCCGGTGTGTAAGAGAGTAGAAAGGCTGGTTGAATGTTTCCATCTTTTTCATCAGTCATGATTCGTTCTAAGACTGATTCGAACTGACAATAGGAGCATGATGTCTTGGTTCGGTCGCAACCGCAACGGTTAACCCAATGATCGTACTTATTCTCAACGCCAGCTCATTGGTAACTTGGCGATCATATCGGTCATTTCCGAATGGTTCAGTCATTCATTGAATAATCATGGTGTTCCATGACGATTCTATATTCACCTTACACTTCAGAGGTTCTGTCAGAGACTTTGTGTCATTGGATTTGCTGTGACTTCTTGCGTGATTACGAAACCACACCAATATCGTTACACCACTGTTATCGCGTGCCAGCGTTGGCATTTGGCGCTCTTTGGACAGTTGAACGTGATTCATCGTTACTAATCGGGTTGATGAAGACTGGTTCCGAAAGCAGCTGTACCCAGAAGTCCGAATCCAGTCCATTTTAGCTGACCGTCTTCGGATACTCACAATCACGGGAATTTACAGAAGATGTGCGCACGCCAATGAGATTTACGTTCAGTCTACCTACACCCTGCGTTTACTCAATGCAAGAGCACGTAGCTCCCTGTATTGTTTTAACCACGTCATACCCATTCGCACTTCCCGGCGTCCACCGCCGGTTGACATAATGCGTCTTCCAGGAAAACGTGGCGATACGTGCAGCTCCGATACAATTGGATCACCGTTTCCTTGCGTTGTAATTGGCAATGTTACTGGTGTTTGGTAGTTCATTAATGGATGTTTTGGTTTACGCCTCAGAGGAAAAGTAGTGCGTATGAGGCCTGTCTGACGGGGAAATGTGTGCCGGTCAGAACATTGCCCTTTTACCGCGTCTAACATTGTAACGTGCTGTCGTAAGATGGTGTAACGCTAAAAATACCATAACTGATTCAGCGAGTTAAATTTCTTACAATTTTTATCGTGGAGTGTTATTGAGACGATCGGAACGAGCACAGTCACCGTCCAATGTGCATGGTTTGCAGCTCGTGGCGGTTTATATGAAATATTTGCACCTCTAATAGTACCATACGGGTCTTACGGATTATCTTGTTCAGTAAGACGCCGAAGCCCTGATGATTTTTACTGATTTTGGTCCTGGCCTTGTGCACTTCTTATATAACTCCTGTGGCCTCCTCGCTCTCAGTAAAGAGCGTCTCCCCGTTCCTAAGGACACTCTGTGCATCAGAGAGCATCTCTCAGTGCCATGTCAGGCTGACTGCGTTACCGGTGACGCGTCGTCTGCCGGGCGTCCGGGGCCCCCGTGCGGGGCTGGCGGTGCCCCGGCTGGAAAGGCCGTGCGGTCGACGCTACCGGTGTGGGCCGGCCCCCGCCGCTGCAGACGCCGGCGCATATATACTGCACCCGAGCTCAGCAGGTCATCAGTAGCACGCTACCGTCACAGACGCACAGAGCAGCAGCAAGAGAATACTGGACGATCTCACCTCAGAGAACATGGAACCGATCAAGGTTTGTAGATTTCTAGCCCTGTTGATAGGATCTATCTTAGATCTATTGAGAGTGTCTGCCTGAGCTGCTTGAGTCAGCGAATGTTTGAGTTGCTCATAATGCCGCTGGTATTCACCTCACCTTAAACGTTATCTGCGCTCGAGTGTTTGGGTTTGGTCTTGGTAGATCATCGGTAACAATGCTTTGAGAGCATTCATTGATTGGCATGAGAGCTATTCAGCGAAGTGCCAAGAGTAACCTAGATTCAACACAGATAATACGGGTAGTACACTTCAGTACCGGTATCGATACGCTGTGTTGCACTCCGAGCGCTGCAGGGGGTGCCTGTTGCCGCCCCGCTGACTGTCCGTCCTTGTGTCGCCAGGTCGTCCTGCTCGTGGCGCTGTGCGCCGCCTCTGCTGCCGGCTCGAGGCTGAGCTGCCGCGCCCGCTCCCAGTGCGCGCAGCCCTACCTGGGGCGGCTGGGGAGGCCTCTGACCTGCGGTGGCAGCTTTGATCTGATCGTCTGTAGGAGCGAGGGACTGTCGGTCCGTCAGCAGACACCTGTCACCACACCGGTCACCACCTTCGACACCACTCCCTTCACCACCGGCCCCGCCCTGGAGCCGCAGCCTTCCCCGTCGTTCCCCAGCGCCGCCCAGTCCCCGAGCCACCTCCAGAACCTGCAGGGCAACTCGAACCTGGGCCGCCGGTTCGGCTCTCGACTGCAGAACCAGGCGCAGCGCACTGCTCAGGGACTACAGGCGCTGTCCGCTCAGCAAGGCGCCGCACCGGCCGCCTTCCCAGCCCCGGCGCTGGACAACCGGGGAGGGTTCTTCCGCGGACGGCTGTGAGCTCCCGCTCGTCTCGCCGCGCCGTCGTTCTCGTGTCCTTTCTCGTTATTTCGTCATTATGCCGTCTTCCTGGCTCGCTGTTTCGCCCAAGGAGGACAACGAACTTTTAAATGAAACCTGTAGGTACTGTGTCTGTGAGCTTGATCCTGGATGGAAACCAAAGAAGACGAAAGGAAGGTGTGATACGGGTTCTTGTAGATTTTGTAAGACATCAGTGTAAAAGATGAATTGGTGTAAAATATATTTCGCTACTTTACTTATGTCATCTGTCCATTGTTTGCAAGGCAAGTAGAGATGAGATGCACTCGACGCTCTCGTGTCTCTAGCCGATCATGATGTTGAGAGTACCAATGTGTGAGGACACACGTGTCTTATGGGGGATTTCTCTGGGATTGAGGCTGTGGCTCAGGCTTAGCCCGAGACTGACCCTCAAAGCCAGATGCCGAAAAAGTGACCGTCATGCTCTACTTGGAAGGTTTGATCAGGTCAATGACCTTTGAATGAACTTAGCTACCTCGGCTTGAAAAAAAAATGCGGGACATGTTATCATGCGTATTGTGTTGTGGTTTGAAAATGAGTTCGGATTGTGGAAAACAGAACGCTGACTTGTTGAATGAGCAAGTGTGTAGAGATGGATTTTATCGTTTCTGAGAAAATTGATGAAGACTAGCATGAAGGCCGCATCATGCACGCTTACGTAGGCGTGAAAACTATGTTTTGGGTCCACTGGCACATGCACGACAGTGCCTCGTCAAAATTCAGACACGCCGTGTCAATATTTGCACTGTGATTGCCGTGCGAAGCCCAAGTTTGTGCCTTGTTCCTACAAGCGGATTGCAGAATGCAAGCTAGGTAAGTGTGTTTGGCAGTTCGCGTTTGAACTGCCTTAGCGAAACGTTCTAACTTCGTGGTTTTGCTCGTAACGTTTTTAGCGAGCTATGTAGGCAAGCCTATGTTTTGAACTCGCGGTGTTGCCTTTCTCGGTTGCCTGTCTCTGCCGATAAGATGTAACTTATTTTACTTATCGATGCGTTGCAACAAGATAGATATGTGCTGTAGTTACTTTTGTGCAGGATGGATCGATCGACATTTTTATTTAAACCCGGGGCTGCGATAAGAAGAAAACAAGTCTTCATATCGCCATTGTGTCGTATCTGATACCGTATCTTGTTCTCTTTATTCGGCTTCATACCCCACCCATCCACCTATGCTGTTTCGTGGACCGATAACCGACAACTGACTCCCTCCTCCAAACTAACAACCTTCTTTCCTCTCCCAGAGTGTGCGGCCTCTCGTCGAGCTCTCTCCGCTCCCCGTCGCCGCTCTCGGGCCAACAGCGGCGCCTCTAGCGGCAGCGAGCGCCGATCTACCTCCGTCGCTGGCCACCAGGCGGCTCTGCGGTCGCCCGGCGGCGGCACCGACTCGGGGTCGATGTCTGCTGCACGTGGAACGGTGGCCGGCCGGCGCGCCGGCTCAGTACGGCGGCGGCGGTGCCGGCGGGGAGGTGCGTGCGGTGGCATAGCGCAGTGTCAGAGCAGAGTGCTCCCAGCGGTGTGGCCCGCGCAGACCGTCACCATGGATGTGCTGGCGATGGACGATGAAGACTTCCTGGGACTGAGCAGCGGCGATATGCGCGACATGTGGGACACGTCCAACCTTCTGGAGACGGTGAGTACCGACCCGCCCACCGCCGGCCATATGGCCGCGGCTCCGGCCACCGGGGGCGTTACTGTATTGGTATTCACGGATAGTACGAGCGGTGACAGTGAGATGTCAGTGGGACCAGACATCCCAGATCAGCCGCCCAGTCGCCGACATGGGATGGTGTCAATCGCTGATACGCTATCTCAGCCTAGCACGCGACGAATGGTCCTAAAACCCGGCTCGCGCTGGCACTCCGGTGCCGGCTCCCAGATTATCGGCTTCCCCTGCCCCCGTGCGTACAGGCATCAAATACGTCTTTACGCGACTTCTACCGCCCCGCCCCGCCCCCTCGCGCCGCTGATGATGATGCCGCTACGAATGACTCGCAATGAACTCTTCTCAAAGTCAGAATGAAGGTATTCCCCTTGAGACCGGTGCCACTCTCCAAGGAGCCAGGTATTGTATCCCCGGGCTTTAATTTTGATTCCGCCCCCTGCGCCTGATACGGCGTAAAGGAGTGGGGTACTCCCCCAGTGAGGGTCGATAACGCTCGGAGTCGGTGGGCGGTAGCGCCTTGCTTCCAAGAGTACCGCCCCCTTCGAGAACGGTGCCGCCCCTCTTTGTCGGTATTGCTCCTGCCTTGAACCTCGGCACACCCGGACACGACACCAACTTCTGTGCCTGTTACCGTCTCTCAAAGGGTCAAGCTCTCATCTTTAACCTCACCTGACCGGTTTCACCGTCAGGTATGGCACCGCCCCCTGGATTTGGAGAGCCTCCCTCTGAACCCCTTCCCTGGACCGGTTACCACTCTCGGATCTGCCCGGGTTCGGTACCCTTCCCCGCCCCTCGGTACCCGTCCGTGCCCAGCCGGCGGCCCGGTCCGGTCGGGGCTTTAGCCGGTCGTGCCGTGTCCGGCTCGAAGGCATGTCGCTGACCAGCGCCGCGACTTTTTCTATCGCTCTTTTCACCGCCGCCTGACGACCGAAACGGCTTCTGGGAAAGTTCCACTCCGTGAAAGTGATGTCAGTTTGGATTGCCATGGTTAAAAAGAAGTGGAATTACTGATATCGTTCCTTGAAGTATTTGTGATGTAATTGAGTGGACTCTTAAATGACGTGGAGCGTCTTGTTTTACTTCCTATATCCAGTCTGGTATTTGGGTTTGTTTGCTTTGGTCATGAGCTCTTGAGCAATGCAGCGATAGTGCTATAATCTGGGCACTTTAGTCGGCGTTCAGACTGCAGGCCATAATCGGCTTCGGCGTTCGGCGTCTGCTCGGCTGATCTGAGCGCAATGCAAACTGTCGGGCCGACTATCACAGTATCACACTCCGCCGGCGACCCTTCTGAACCGCCCCCCCCCCCCCCCCGGTACCTATCGGCTGCAGCCATCAGCTGAGTGCGGAGCGGGGGGAAGGGGGGGGGGGGGCGGGACTGTACCTCTCTGCCAGTCCTCGACGGGGGCATGGTCCGCCCGCCGCGCCGGTCGGAGCGATACCGACAGGTAGACGGGGCGGCGTCGGAGCGGCAAAACAGCCCGCTCCGTGCCTCCCGGCCGAGCCGCCGGCTGGTCTCTTATCCACCCCACCTCCGGGGTTTCGCCAGTCAACACGCATAGCAGAAAATCGATCCCTCGCGTCGAGCGGCAGATGTTTTAACCTGCAGGGCTGTGCTGCAGTGCGGCTGGTGGTAAACCGACGAACTAGGAAAGCCCAGAGACGTTTATCGCCGCTCTGCTGCTTTGCGGAGAATCCCTTGCACCAGACTTCAGACGCGGCGTCTGGGGCGGCTTGCCGGCACCACGTGCTCGCTGGATACCGGTTCTGAGCCGGCCGGGGGCTCACACTGCGGTTCGGTCCGTTCAGGGAACCCGCAGTCGCGGCCCGGTACCGAACTCACCCCGCTCCGCTAGGCCATGGTCCCGTCACTTTCCCTAGGTGGGCGGAGGCCTTGACGGTACCATTGGCAGGCAGGCGACTTTCCGAGTGGATGTTCACGGCCGGGCCTGCGTGCGGGACGGACTTGGGTCCGGCGGTGGAGGTGTAAGGAAAAGTCAGCGGGGCAGGGTGCTGGACATTGCCTCGGTGGGCTAGTGTCGGCGCCGTTTGATTTTTGTGGTCCGGTTACTCCGCTTCTTTAAAAGCCGCGTGGGCATAGAAACGAAACATGCGAACAGTCCCTACAATTTTAATGGAAACACAGTGTAATAAAATCCACTGACAACGTTTCATCAATTTCGTTATTATGAGGGTCGCCTTTTAAGTGGTCATAAACACAGCAATAAACGCATTAGCGGTCCATTCTTTTAGAGCCCGGTCTGGGTCTTTTGGTTCACGTATAAAAACTGACGTCGGCGACAGAGCTCTCGGCACCGCTCCCGTCCGTCTGCGCCCACTCGCTCACCGCCTGGCCTCCCAGTCTCTGCGGTGTTTGCCAGCCACCATCCCCACCCTCCCCTGGCCGTCTGTGCAGCCCCGGGCCCGTTGCACAGACACTGCGGCATTCGAACGGCCGTGCGTGTGCCGCCGGCGTCGCCGCTGCCAGGAACTCTCCTGCGTCACTGGGCGGCTCCAGAGGTGAAGGACCTGGTGTGGAGAGGCGGCGTCACGACCACACCTCTCCCTCTTGCTGATCGGAGTGGCGATTCGATCAGCAAAACCGCACGGCGACGGTGACGGCAGGGGCACAGTCGCCTGAGATGCTTGTTTCCTCGTTGGGCAAGAATCATCGTCAGACAACGGGAGATAGCAGTTTGCCGACATGACAGACATTTCCTTTTGGATTGCTATTTCTGGAATCATCTCCCCTAGATGAGGGCTCCCTATCGCTGCAAATCCTGTTAGAGACATTTTCTGGTTCCTGTTGTTAAACTCCGTCGTGACGGTGAGGTCGTCAACTGGACGGAAGAATGTCCGTCCGAGCTTCCCTGCGAGGGTGTGAGCTCCGGACCACGTGACCGGCACGGCTGCCGTCCGGCCGGCGCGGCTCAGACCACGTGACGTCTCGCTCGACGGGTTACCTGGTCGGTCGGTGACCGTTAGACGCTGAGCTGCGGGCCGCGGCGGCGGAGCCATGACCGCCCGGCACGACCGGGGCGGGGGCGGGGGCGGCCAGCTGGAGGTGCGGGCGGCTGCTGCAGAGAATGTAGGATCAAGTACGACCGGTGCTGCCTCTGGGTACTGCAGAAGCAGCGGAGGTCGGCGGAATGTCGCTCGGCTCAGACGCAGCAGGTCGTGGTGAACGGAAGTCTCGGAGGAGAAATGTGACTGGGTCATGGGGGAGGGGGTATGTAGAATTCCCGTAATTACAGCTTGAGAAAGGCACGTCCGTGGTGAGAAGCGACTGAGAGCATGTGTAGTCGACGGTTTAAACTGCACAATGTAAAGTGCACAGCATACACTACCTGGTCCATAAACCAAAGTACGGAGGTCAGTCGTTTTGGCTAGTCCGGGCAGCGGGGACACGGACCGAATGACCGGACTTTATTATAAACCGTGACCCGTGTGTACAACAACCGACTTGGAGTGGTCGGCAGTGAGTAACTTGCGAGTGAGAGCTCACGCCTACTTGACCCGGCCCGTGCCGGCCGCCGGCCGAAGTCCCGTGATCCCTGAGCCCTGCAGTAGCGTGTTACCGTGCTCCTTATCGAGTACCGCTCAGCTGTGATACCTCCGGGTCGCCGTTGTAAATGTAATCAGCCTCGCGTCTGTAGCGACATCACTGGCAGGCGTGCCGTGACGTCATTCGTGCACGGCCGACGACTGGCGGAGTTTGTGCACCGCACAGCTGCCGTCGCTCCACGGGCAGCATCACGGACCGTCACGCGGCGTAACGCAGTGTCACGCCGCCGGAAGCGTCGCACGGCGTCACGGCTGGTGTGGCCCGGCTGTGACGGCGGCGTGTGTGTGTGTGTGGGATGGACTGCTAGTCGGAGTAGAATGGTACGTCTGCCCCATTAATTAGTGTGTTGTTTGCTCGACTGTGGCCGCCGGCGCGGATCGACACGGCGACGGGACGGGACGGACGGGGCGCGAGGCCAGGTTCATGGTCAACAACACTCCCCTTCGGCTGATAGAGTGGAGCAGCGATTTCGATCTGGTATCGGAATAGTTTGTGAACGCCTTCGCCAGCTTATTTTGGGGTTCGACTGCCCAAAGTAAAACGATTTAACTTGCACAACTTTAAACCCACAAAATGAAATCCCTTCTGACATTCATTCACGTATAAACGTTCCCAACAATCGTACTTTTACAACGCGGCTATTATTCGAGAGCTTCCCGATGCGACGCGTCGTGTTTTTGTCCGTGTTTTTACCGCACTCGTCTGTCGCCGCCGGCCGTCCATGTGGCCGTTCAATCCCCGCCTGCCGTCCCAGACAGCTCCGTGCAGGAGCGCCGTCTGGGTCAGCTCATAGGCGCGTGAGTGTGAACCTGTGAGCTGGCGCAGTGTGAGTAGTGACGTCTGGGCCAACTCACAGGCGCGCACGAGCGTGAGTGTGTGAGTCTCCGTCGTGGGACGGTGGTCGAGCCAGGGAGGGAGGGGAGGGGCGGGGTAACGCTCCGATAAACAGCCGACTGCGACCAGCACCAGTCGGAATGTCGGTCCCTCCCTCCCACACTCTGTGGGACCGGGACGCCACACGCCGTCTGCCCGGTTCTCGTCAGGGCAGTGGTTTTTTTGGTGCAGTCTAAGCGGTCTTCTCATGGCCATAGCAACTGCCGGATCATTCTCCAGAGGTGGTCTCCAAGAGGGTCCACCAGTGATGGTCCCAACATACTACCAGTGGTCCCAACCATTGGTCTTCGCTACTGGCTAGTGGCTAGTGATCCCACCCGAGGGACCTGGACTCTTCCACAGTCCGCCTTCCACATTACATACATCGGAATGCGCCGGTGATACCAATTACAATAAGTTCCCGTTTTACCGGCAATCGCCAGGGGCCGGCGGAACCTATAACTGCCGCTGATCGGTCTGCTGGGAACGACGCTCGAACGGCGTCTGGAAGTGCCCAGCGGCGCCGCTG